CGCATTTATAATATTAGTATGATGTGTTTTTTTGCAACTTTGTTAAACACAAATTTCCTTTTATAGTAACTTTCTTGTATACTTTTGAGTAAATTCTTCATTTGATTATAATTTGTTTTGTACAATATAGAGATTGTGCACTGTGATATACTTTACAACATAATGTATACTGAAGCAAAAGGACTTCCTATCTCAAGTACCAATCGGATATTTAAATTTTAACATCAGAAAAAACTTGTATCATCTATTGTTACACTAATAAATTTTTCATTTTCAATAGATGTACCTAGAACTTATATCGTCAAATTTTAATTAACAAATCCATCTTTCTTTGAAACGTGCATCGTTATCTCTTGAGGTGTGTAAGCAAGTAAAAATGCAGAGATACACGCTCGAGACTTAATTCCGATATCGGCTATCTATTAACAAGATACCTAGAATCACCATCTCATTCAGGACTCGCGGACAAGACCATCTTACACTAAGATATACAGACTATTATCAGGTATAAGGTCTTATTCAATGTTAGGTGTTATCGTTGAGTCGTGGCATAGATTATAGAATGAATGTAGAGGTGCGGCAGTGATTGTTGAGGTGTGCACTGTCGAATTATTCTTAAAGCTACTTTGGAGTCTAAGTCTGGAGGAGATTACCAGAATTTAGAGTTTTTTGAATTTACGCTAGTTAAATTCTTCAATTTGTTCAATATACTTTTAAATGTAGAATAATAAAAATAAGGATGCAAATTGAAGTATTGGTTTCATTAATTATTTGTTAAGCCAAAATAACGCGTGCTGGACGTGGGCGAGAAAATTCTATATAGAGTTGAAAGAAATTTCTTGTTATATCGTAACCTTATTGTATCGTCCAGCTAATAAATCTGTTTGTTTAAATACGCGATGTTTGATTTTATTTTTAAAAGTGCTTATCAAAATGTCTAGACTGATGACATCACATTGAGAAGACATAGATCGTAACAATAATAAATAAAAATTCTTTTAATACTATAAATTTATGTGTTATCTAACTTTTCATTTTACTCCATATAAAAATAAAAGAACAAACCAAAAAAGATATTAACAACAACCAGTTTTTAAAATTCATTTATCACCTTGAACCCCTACTGTTACAAAGATGTTTATAGTTTTAAATTGAATTAAGAATATGTATAAAAAGCAGCTAATGATAATGATTGACTTGAAAATTATAAAATGCTATCACTGTGTGATATATTTTCTTGTCACATACGACTACTAAAGTAGTCGTGTTACAATATTATTTGTCACCGGCAAATAGTGTTCCATTCGTTTTAATGCCTAGGCAAATGGTGAAAAACCTGAAAATTTTATAACAAACAAGTTCATTAACAAACTATCCAATTCATTAACGAATAATTTATATGAATTTTAAAAGAGAGTGTTTAATTGCTTTGATTTGTCTAGGCAAATTATAAACAGGCGAAGTGCACGTTTTTCCCGTGACATATGTAGAAATATAAGGTCGTGGGGTTGTCGTGTATCGATTTGGTAACTGTCAGATCGACTAATGAATATTCTAATTCGATCAGATAACGCTCGCAATTTCAATTACGCACTACTTACTGTTGAAACTGATAAATCGATCTTATACAATTGTCAAAGTAGCTTGTGAAACTACCAACTGATTTCATCATAACACTGAATAGTGGTGGTCTTAGAGCGGTCGCACACTTGAAACTAAACTATCACACAACTGTTTAAGGAATATGTAATAGGAATAATAATATGGAAGTGGGCACACTACTCAATTTTTAGTTGTGCAACTAAACAACTGAATTGACTGCGAAACAATCGACAACCGATAACTTTAGTCAAAAGTGTGCGCACGCTCGTAGCTAAAATATAAAATAAAAAATAGAACAATTATTTATTAGAAATATAATTTTGTAAATAAATTAAGTATGCGTTTACAACAACATAATACGCGAAAGTAACTTTGACCACCCATTAAGTTTTGGAATATTTATTTTATGTTAAAAAAGTAAACTTTAAAAAGATAACTTAGGAATAAATTATGCATTCATGATACTATAATAAAATAAACGGTACAACAGTTACTGTCGAATCGAAAGCCAAAAATACTTTACAAAATTACTCAAGCATCAATCAAAAATAACTTAAAAACAAGAAACGGTAATAAGAGACGAGCTTAAACTAAAATGCTCAATAATTTACAACGTACATAAAAACTCATCTCAACGACCGTAGGGCAATTAACCGTTCCTACTAAAACCAACGGAAACCAAACAGCGTGTTTGGCAAGTTAGTAAATCACGCGATAGCGAGGAGAAAGCTCAAACCAACGACTGCTTAATTCTATCACGCGTTCCCAGTTAAGGTTCTAATCCTGTTGAAACCAAAGGTGCTGAGAACAAGGAATTTAAAGATAATGTCTATTTATTTTTAAAGTTCAGATTGAATATAATTTATTCTCGATCCTTTAATTCTATCGTCGTAAACACCGCGCTGTGTACAATCACATTTGTTTAAATAAACTCAATGGAACTGGCTTGCAATGCTATTTATTTTTTATGGATTTGTTTTGAAAAATTTTACTATTAAAATTGAGTTTTTGATGTCTTTGCTTACTGCCTGCGCAGAGGCAAAATTTACATATTGATTTGGTTCGAGATCTGCTTAAAAAAAAACCATGAGTTGTTTGTCTTTAACACTACATTATTTAACGGCTTTGTTTTTAAACAAAGAAGTCACAAACTCAAAAATATATAAATCAAAAGCAATGCCCACGTAAAAGTTTTTCTGCACAAGCATAGCTTTAGTTGGTTATAGATAAATTAATTTTATATGTGGCGCTGGGAGTCGTGCGCGCCCGGTGCCCCCGGGCGCTGCGCCGTGAGAACGGACTCGTGCTGCAGCCGCTAATGCCGGTGAATTAGCTCGCCTGTCCACTAAACAACTTCAACCGACCTCTATAGAGCACAATTTCGTCTAAACCATCTTAAATGAAGAAATAAAATATAAAATGTCCAGACATTTAAGTCACTTGAGGTAAACCGTTGCCAGAGATTAGAAGGTCAACAAGGCAAGAACTACAAAAACCATCTACTTACTTATTATGTATGTTCTCATGTCTCTTATAACTGGTATAGTTTTAACGAAGACCAATGTGAAGGATGAATCGCATGTTACAAGGTGAACGTTAGTTATGAGTGTGGAAGGGTACACCGGTAGAGGAAGTCCTAGAAAAAGATGGATGTACTGCGTGAAAGGTGACATGATCAAAAAGGAGTGATGACTGCAATGACGTATGATAGAGTTATTTAGAGGACAAACACCTGTTTTGCCGACCCTACGGGAGTAGGATAAGGAGGATGATGAAGACCAATGTGAGATTCATAGTAAAAGAAAGCTGAGCATTGCAATTTTTGTTTCTTGTGTTTGTAGGCTACAAGTATTATCAAATACTTCAGGCATATAGTGTGATTTAGCTTTTCCGCTTGGACCTCAAATTATAAACTCTTACCTACTCTTAGTTGCTAGTTAACCAGTACCGTCTTTTGTTTTATCGTTACCTCGTTGGGATATTTGTGTACTGATTTCTTTACTGCACAAAATAAGTATGTAAGACTATCGGACCTTTTACTAAGACGTTCGCATCTCCGGTCCATTTTCCTGTTTCCCATGTCAATTGTTGCAATTTTCACGCTCTATTGGAGCATGGGGCATTGTCTCTGGTCGGCAGCCGTGACTGCAGTGCGAGAAATTACAGAAACTAGACGCTTTATCTCCGATTTACGCTCTTTATCATAATTGAGGAAATTGTATAAAACTGAATGTTTAATATTGAATTTCTGGACAAATTTTCAACTGCAAACAAATGCTTTAGCATCCCAAATGTTAGATTAGTAAGGAAAACCTTTGAGTTAATTAACAAGATTGTTGAATACAAAAAACATGTGTCGAATTATTAAACGATGTTTACTTTGTAAATGCTCAAAGAACAAACGTAAGCAAATATTATTATGTGCTCATCCGTTTAATTTTAACCCGACAAAAGTAATAAACACATGTGTACAGAGGATTCTGTTCTTTTTGTGCGTATTTCTTTGTTAATTCTGAATACACTTATAATGATATGTAGAAGTAACTTGAAAGAAAAGATAATATAAATTTGATTTATTTGCTACTTTGCAAATAGTGCTTAGCAATAAAAATAGTGAGCAATAGAAACCTATTTTAGATCTTAGTTTGTAACTTTTGTATATGTTAATGTACTACTTAAATCAGATGTAAATATGCCTGATAAACAGCAACCCATGTTTGTCCATAATTTTAACTAATATAAGATACTTATGATATGACGTAATATTGGCATCAAACAAGTTTACAAAATGAGTTAAGCTTTTATTATACACCTTGACTATAAAACCACCTGCAACAAAAATGATGTCTTTAAAAAGCTTTGTCCGCAGTGTATAAACACGAAGGGGACATTTGCAAAGCTCACAGTTTTGGTTTATGTCCACTTTTTGTCTTGACTTTTATCTCATTTTTATGACTGTATTACCACAGGATAATTAATATTTTTAATTATCTTATGTGTGTACGTACTTAAGAAAAGATTCCTAACTTTTATCCCTAACTTTTAATATGAATAATTTTACAAATAAAAACAAATATTACATACACAGCACAGGCTCTTTCTGACCCACTAACAAAACGAGTCGACCGATAGCTGTGAACATTGTTTTCCCATAGCCCAACAAATCCATTCAGAATCTCATTACACTCGTAAGGGTTACAACAAATCTGGAACATCGTTCTCATGGACGTGTCTGTCGTTAAGGCGGCGTGAGGTGACCATTACTAAGTACAAAGAGTTGCCTAAAATAGAGAGCTTTTGTGAGGCGGGCAGAGCGCGGGGAGGTGCGGGGAGGCGCGGGGCGGGGCGGGGGCGCGGCGCCGCCGCCGGCTCAGTCGCGCCGCGCCGCACGACCACCTCGCACGCTACACGCCCGCGCTTCGCTCGGCGCACAGCGCACGCGCACGCGACGCACCAGCCCCGCACCTCCCCGCGCCTCTAGCGCACCACGTGTACACACAAGTGCTCATATGACATTCAACGCTTAGTTCATTCTACAATATGCAAGAGCAAAGCTCCTCGCGATCCAAGACCACACTAAACTCGCTGGAGAGCGCTATCATCAAGCTGAAGAATAATCTGCAGATTCAAGACAACAAGCCCTCCCCGGATATGAGTGGATTGACTGTCGAACCCTCGTCGATCGACGATACTAAAGGAATAACAAGTAAGGCTAGCAGTTTATCTCCTTCGAATATAAACTTATCAATAGCGTCTGCAGCGCTCCTACAAGAAAATATGTTGCAACGGTCATTGCAAGGAGTCGTTTTATCGCTGCAAAATGCAATGATGAATTCTCTGCAGCAAGCGGCCTTGCTGCCGTCTAACTCTGCAGCTGCAGCTGCACTTAATCTCCAAGCACTAGAATCTTATTTAACACTGCAGCGTTTAACTTCTGTATCGACCGTTGGAAATTCAAATCAATCAAACGTCACCGAGAATAATTCAACTTCAAAACAAGACATCTTAAGAATAGCAACCGCGAGCGCAAAGATAACAGAAGTCGATGTATCAGAAAATACTAGAGAATTTTCACCTAAAACACCTGAAGAATACCCGTTATCTGATGCTATTGCTGCTGAGGATGTTGATTTATCAGAAGAAGTCGAGGAGGACCTAGCTTTATTGGACAATGAGGATGAATTCACTTTAGAGCAACATCTAGAATCTACATCAAAAGGTTATGGATATAGTTCACAAAATTTAGATAACGGATACCCTAGTTTGCTAATGAACGCGATGTACCAGCAACAAATGAATGGCAGTCCGACCCAACCACCATTATCTCCACAGCCTTCTAACTCCTCCAGTTCAAAATCAACAAACAGTTCAACATCTTCAACGGGAAGCAGTATTTCAAATAAACAGAAGACAACAGGAAGCGGCCCTAGGACAAAGAAACAATTTATCTGCAAGTTTTGCAATCGACAGTTCACAAAATCATACAACTTACTAATACATGAACGAACGCACACGGACGAGAGACCTTACTCATGTGACATTTGCGGCAAAGCTTTCCGACGGCAAGATCATCTCAGGGACCACAGGTAATGAAACTTTTTATTACAATTTTATTATTAACATTTATTCCAGTATCTTCTATCTTATCTTTTAATAGGTTATAATATCAATACTTCTTTTATTTTAAGTTAACTTTTACGTAAGTTTTTAGTTACAATTCCTATTTACTTTGAACTTTAAAGTTCAAAATAGTTGCCGCGACCGGGAATATTCAATACGTAGTTTTCGTTATTTCCGGTTAAGTAGTACATACATTTTTGTTATGAAGTAATATTTTTTGTCATACATAAAGTTAATATGTAACGTTTTATTATTACAATGTATTTTTATTCTATTGAATTGCTTTACTATACTCGTATTTGTAGATAATAGAATTGACGCGAGAAGTCAATTTATGTTTCCATTCCACTTATCAAAGCTTGAACACCGAATGTTGCAACAACAAGGCTTTTAAAATAGTAACTAACGCCAATATCTCTGAAGTAAAGATAAATTTAGTTTATAGATGTTTTCAAGTATTAAATTATTTGACATTTGATACTTTTGTTAGATTTCATTTTTATCAGAAAGATGGAAACAATTTTATATAATGGAATAAATAATACACCACATTTATGTAGAAATAAATGGTAACAATAGTAGGATTCAGTTTCGACTGCTAAAAGCAAAAAGTTATGAAGCATTGAGTTATGAAGGTGAAGAAAAATATTTAAAACAAAAAGGGTTAAGTATCGCTCGAGCAGATGTTATCAGCGGCTCGTCCGTCACGCTCGTAAATTATTTCACAAAACCACCGCTAATCTCTGACCCGATGTTTTAATTTAATCTTGTTTTATCCTTTTACTTTCCGTCTTCGGATTCTCAATAAATCCGCGCGCATATCTCTTTAATCTTAAAATATCTCTTTCAATAAAAAAACACGACCAATACAACTCTAATTCAGCCCTAAAACAACACAAATTCCAAACGTTGTTTGTCGATAAATAATGCCATTACATTTATTGTATGTAAGGCTTACAACAACATTTAATCTGCGTTAATCTATTTCTCTACTTATCTGTACGAGGTCCGAACCAAAAAAATGGTAAAGGTGTTGAATTTTTAACACCTGTCCCCTCCAAGATTTCCTTTCGAATTGTCGTATCTCAACGGCAATAAAATAAATTTGGTGTAGACGCCGGAGGGTTAACCCGGGCCGGGCCGGGCCTGTCGATGTTCAATCGATGTCCGTTGACACGATACATTATAATGGACCGAGGCGAGACTCCGATGGGCCATAACAAAGCACGTGGTGATCCTGACGTGAGGATTAATATGGACTACAAAAAAAACTAATAAAACCGTAGTAAATATTCTTCGCATACAAAATTAGGGTTCGGTTCTCGAACTTCAATTGTTTTTTTTTTATATTTGAAATCGAATTAATTTATTGCTTGTTTTGAAATCATTGTTATTATAATCATATAGCGTTACTGGATGATGTTATTTTCTTATTAATAATGCATACAAAAGGAATAATAAAACATGATGTTTAAAATAGTCTGTTTTTGGTTGATAAATGATTGGTATTTTGCATATGTTACGTGCAATCTAACATTTTTTTAAATTTCAATCACTCTTATTTATGAACACTGATCAAATTTCAAATTTATCTGGATTTTATTTTATCTACAACAACACCGAAACCTAAATTAATAATTTGTTTATGATATGCATTAGCTTTTCTTGTTAGTATTTCACTTAAAGATTCTCTCAATTTGTACAAATTGTCCGCCGCCTGTACTAAAAGGCGTTAGTTTGTTTACAAAGTTTCTGATATAAATTAACATTGTATCTTATTTTCTCAATAATATTTCGGGATAAGTTTATATTAAGTCGTTGTCTGTAACATTTCTGTGATGATCTCATCTCTATGTTTCTAACGCCATAGCTTTAATATCGGAATCCTGTTCCATTCATTACCGCTCTTTATCGTCACAAACTAATCTCGATTATTACTCGTATAATGTTACATCGAACATGTAATCCTTACCGTGGAATTCCATTGTATTGAAACATATTGCTGTGACGCTTTTCTTTAAGGGAATGAGAAGGACGATAATATGTTTTATAAGTCAGTGGAAACCTACAGATATAGATGGCTTCGGGTGTGTTTGTTTAGGCTATTTAGATTTATTGACTTGGTAACAAGAATGCTTGTTCCTAGCCAGTATTATTGATTACAGTTATAGCGTGTTAATTATAGGCTGTTCATTATGAATTCATTGCCTTATGATTTGTTTCGAATATCAATTTTATTGAATTCAAAATAATTGACTTGTATTAATATTAAAATCATCGATACCTTTGGAATTTTTATATGCATTTTCTTCATTATCATATTGGTTTACTTTGTTACTGATACATTTTAGGGTGTTCAGGCTTAATTTTAATTTAATTTTGTGACTGCCTTTTTTGTACCATATTATTTTTAACATTGGTAATTGTTATTTATTTGAATTATTCGAAGCTAATATATTTATTTTCATTCCAGATATATTCACTCCAAGGAAAAGCCGTTCAAATGCATGGAATGTGGCAAAGGTTTCTGTCAATCGAGAACTCTTGCTGTTCATAAAATCCTACATATGGAAGAATCTCCACATAAATGCCCAGTTTGCAGCAGAAGTTTCAATCAACGGTCGAATCTCAAGACGCATTTATTAACACACACTGATATCAAACCTTACAATTGTTCTTCTTGCGGGAAAGTGTTTCGAAGGAATTGTGATTTAAGACGACACAGTTTGACGCACAATCTTGTTGGAATATCGTCAGTTAATACTTCACCCAGTGGTTCTAATGGAAAGAGTCCAATATTGAATCCTAACTTCCCAATCGATAGTTTAGATACTGAAGATGAAAATTAATGTAATGAAATTGTATCGAAATTGATTATATTATCAAGACTGAATTACTATTTTATAGAAGTGCCTTCTCTATACATATTAACAATTTTGTTTATAAACTTTATACCTTTGTGAAGTTTTATACAAACTTTAATTTAAATTTTTCGGAGGAACAACACTAAGGGAATACTTAAGTAAGCAGTACGACTGTCAGTAGGGCATTTTTTTTTTTGTTTACTGTACAAATAAAAAAATTGTTTACTATTATTTTTGTACTTCTGTAAACTTTTGTCATATAGATTGGTTAAGGTACCTTTCATTAAAAGCGAAATTATTTGGAATCATTTATTTTTAAATAGGTACTAGATATATTTATGTTTATTTCTTAAAATCTTGTAAATTATCTGATCTCATATTGTAAATGTATGTAAAAATTTAAGATTACGTGCCTTAGTCATCGTGTAAAATTCATCCGTCCATAGATATAAGAATATTAATAATAATGATGTAAGAGCAGGCGAACACCTTTGACTAAACTATCGCATAACTGTTGTGCGATTGTCGATAGCTGTTGCCCATTCAACTGTTTAGTTGTACAGCTAACAATCGAGTAGTGTGTGCATATAAGCTCATAGGAATATACACAGTTGTGCGACAGTTTAGTTTCAGGTGTGCGTATGCTCTATGATTTATAATTAGTTATAAAGTGACAGTTTTTATTTAATTGTTTTTAGAACCGACTGAAGTGTTTTTGTACAATATAAGAAGTATGAGAATGATGTAATTAAATTCATAATATTGATTCTTGTTTTCTTTACCTTTTTACACTTCGATATAAACTTTAACAATCGTATCTAGTGATCTAAAAGATACCCAAAATGACGTTGAATAATTTTATTTGCCATTCGTTAAGTAATTATGTAAGAGGGGAAGTGAGAGGGAATTGGTTAATGTCGTTAATCTGGTGGGGAAGGGGTATAAAACCCATTGTTATAGAATTAGGCAAAATGTATTAAAAATATGAAAAATTTTCAGCATTTACCTTTTTGTAAAAACGCCATAGAGTTGTTGTAAAAACATTTTTTTTAAAGTGTTTCGAGAAAATTAATGTATTCTTACACTAGCTATCCCCGTACGGCTCCATCCGCATTAAATTATAAAAACTCTATTTTATTGCTTACATTTGTCAAATTTTTCATTGCAAATGTCAAACATCAAATACCCAAATGGCAACTTAGGGCTTTGACATTGGATATCAATTACCTTACCATGGTAAATTTGTTTCCTTGATGTTGGCAGATTGTAGTTTATGGTGCCTTTCGCCCATGTAGGATTTTTTACAATTTATTTACCCCTAAGTTTAATAACGTTTTTTTTCTTGCTTCGTTTTCATCGTAGCTCGATATCACGATCTAAGGGCAGTAAAGTAAAGTTTAAATAACGTTACTACAAACTTGATTCATAAAAAACGTTCCAATCAATGTTTTTGCCATATTGCCAATTCGCCATTATAAAAATCGCTTTTCACTGGAGAAGGTAATTTAAAAAAGCTTTCTACTATATATGTATTTGAAAAAATATAATACATTAAAACTGTATGAACAGATTATATAAAATTTTTTGGAAGACCACAAACGATGTATTGAAGTCTTTCTTTTTTTGTTTAATTAAAGGTAAAGGATACTAAAAAAGAAATGACACTACCAACAAAAGATCTATCCGCCTAAAGAGCTTGAAATATCGATTCAATTCAACAGAGATCGTATAGTACCAAATCAAAGACTTCCACATCAATAAAAGGACCTCCATTGTCATACTCCCTTACAAAAGACTCTTAAGAGTGTATCAAAACGACATAAAGCTTAATTCTTTTTCTAACACAAAACCCGTTCACAAAAGCCCACATGGATATTAAGAGGTTTTTTTTTCTCTTAGATTTCGAAAATTGATGACGTGTTAAAAAGGTAACAAATTGAGTCCGTCGTTTTGGGGGCCGATGTCGTCTCTAAACACAACCGTCATATTTTTAAATATTCGCATTCGAAATTCGAATTTAACAGCGTGATTCGTTACGGATTTGGCGGGTTTTTGTGGTTTTTTGATTGCGTTATTTTTTATGGTTAGACAGTTGGGGCACACGCTTGATTGCTTTCAAGTCACGGATGCGATCGATACTTTTTATACTTATCAAGATTTTAACAGAAATATGTGTATTAGGTGTTTATCGATTATCTCGCTTGTTTCAAATCTACGTCTTATACAACACTACTACTGCCTACTGCTGTTTTGTTTAGAATACATAAATACTTATTTAAAAAGTAAAGCGGCGCCCATTGAATAAAATGATTGAAACCCATATGTTTTTCTTAAGTCATAATAACACTAAAATTAACAGTTACAGCCCTTTGGTGGGTACAAGAATATAGACATTTTCTTAGCGAGTATATCAGAAAATCTTTCGAGCTAAACCAATATTAAAATTACCAAATAAATTTGACTGGTCTTAATCGACGTTCTTTAAACACGGCGACAATAATGGCACTGTATATCTTACAAAGCCCTTAAAGACTCGTATTATTCACAAATTACATAGCAATCACCCCAATCGGAAATCCCGCTGGGATAAACAAAGTGTACCTTTTGCAGTTACCTTTTTTTATCTTTTCACTTGCACCACATTGTGTGACACCGATATTACCGACGATTGTCACAAAGGATTATGTTTGCCATCACCAGTGTTTGAAAAATATTTGTTTTCTCTTAAGTGTACATCATTCGAATTCGCTTACTAGTGATGTGCTGAAGATGAAAAACTTGGTATCGACGTTGTTTACAATTTTTGGTCAAAGTAATATGATCATTTTTTTTTTAGTCTTTCAAAATATAATAATCATAGTCTACTTAGTTCATATTAATTTAACTTTTACGATCAAAGTTAAGACAATAGAGAATAGCTCTTATACGATTTGATTTTTTTTAGCACATTCTGAATATTTTGGATACCACTTAAAACTATAGATAATCGAATCAAATAATTTTCTTAAAATCAACTCGTCGTTAAAATCGACTCGTCAAAATATTGTGAATATTTATAATAAAAAAATTGACTCAAAAACTTAACGACGTAAACGTAAAACATATGTTATTAATTGTAAAAAGGTTATAATTTCGCACAGTATGATGTCACTTTTTGTTACCTGATTTCGATACAAGACCATATGTCACAGCACTAGTAGGGCGCTTTTATTCGCAACGACCACACACAGAACAACGCGATTTTTTTTTTTACTTCTCGCTCGTGAAATTGTATAAGGTGTTTTGACAATGCGCTCCGAACGTGCGTTCGCGAGGTCTCGAGTGTTAAGCACGGTTTCACTCGACTTATTTGTCTTTATGTGTCGATAGCTTTTCAACGAGACTTTCAATGCCTTTATTATAAAAGTAACCTTTGATATTAAATGTGTAGTAAGAACACATTTGCGTGATGGAATTAGAAATACGATCTATAGAACTAACAAGAGCATAAATGGTCTGTAACATTGCTTAATCTATGGACAGTACATGCAGTTTGTCTATGGTTGTTATGATCCTTAGGCTCTAGATTTGTAGACGTATAAAAGAACCCAAACTTATCTGTCTATGGTTTCACTGATTTTATTAACTGTCACCCGCAACTGTGCGAGTGTTGATAAGGCATTAATGTATCTCTGTTCCAAATTTCATCCCGATCAGAGCAGTGCTAGAGTTACCAGGTAACAAATACCTATACATTCAAACTTAGTATGCTATCATAAAATAGAATTGAGTGTTAGTTTGCTTCCTTCTTAGTCTCTAAGTGCGTGTATTTCATTCATATTTAATGTCATATGATATGTTTATCAAATGGATTTCGATGCGAGCACTCGGCATTCAACTTGCGAGCACTAGTGGCGCGTTATCAGCAATGCGCGAATTAACTGCGACAATTGTGATTGTGAATGCCGTTTGCATATGCTAAATGCAACTGTCATAGATTAAATATAAAACAGACTGGCATTGTATATTTTAAATATTGTAGTTTCTTTTGCTGCTTCTTCTCGTATAAACTTTATTCTTTCTGAAGATATTTTCAAAGGTTCAATTGTAAAGGTTGATGACAATATTTAGGTCATTTTCATTTAAGAGGTAGTATTTAATGTATAAAATACAGTTAAGGCCTTACAGCGAGATAGATTTTAGTATGTAGGCAACATAACTTTGACAGATTACAAATTACAATTACAAATTACATATTCAATATGTATAGCTTTCCATAACACTATTTTATATCTTTAACTAGCTGTTCCCGTGCGGCTTCATCTGCATGAAATTATGAAAACTTTTTTTTTACATTTACCAAATTATCAATAGCAAATATCAAAATGACATGACATGACATGACAAACCTTAGCAATCTTTCTTTCTCGATGTTGGCAGCAACTTATGGTCTCTTTCCCGCATTAGGGTTCATATCCAAAATATTTACCCCCTAAGTTTAATGGCGTGAAAATATATAGCCTTAAGCATGACGTAAGTGTATGGGTTTTCATTAAGAAAAGAATTATTCAAAAATATGGTGTAATTGCTGACATCTTAGGCAACAAAGAAGTATGTGTTTACGCTTTATTATAATAGTATAGATTATCACTATTTGCTGTAGCCGTACAATAATTGAATGATGTACAATAAATTTAGTTGACAATTTGTCAGTCAACATATGGTTTTTTTTTTAAACATTTGTCGCATCTGCGTCTAGACATCTTTGTCCGTTGCCCACGCGCTATCGTGTCTCGCGGACAGTTACGGCGTCGCGATAGCCCGCTAGATATCGGCTGCGGCCGCACACGATGCGTACACAGCCTCTAAACACTGTGTCCTTTGCCATTGCGCCGATAACACCTGACAAATTACCTCTTACCATTTTAATGTCCGCCGTTTCTAACACACCTCGCTAACTGTTACTTAATCTTTGACGCGTTACTTCATTATTTGACCGCTTTTATTGGCTATAAACAGCGAGTGTCAATGTAATAGATGTGTTTGAAGGCTTATAGTTAAAGACCACCAAAGGTACTCGATTAAATATAAGGCTGTACTATAACAAATTGTTTTAAACCAGCTAGTCTAGATACTTACTTGACCATCTTGTAAATAATAATCATCTTAAGGGAATTTTCTTTAATTACGTTCGGTGATATCTTAATTCTTTTATCTATATTTAAGTTATAAATAAATGCGTTCTAATGGTAAGACTCTTTATTAAGTTTTTAATGCCATTAATAAGCTATACCCAGGTAATATTATGAGTAATTCAACGAAGGCACAGTTTATCTGTCATACTCAAACATGTTGTCTAAGTTGTACCAATACGGGGTACGACTATACGCCGCGCTAGTGCGCGTGACCTGTTCTCAGTTGATAAAATTTGCACGGGCTTGAATCGTGACCGGCGTCGCGTCCGAAATCGCGAGGTCAACCGCCACCACATCTGCTAACCGACGTCTATAGAAATATGCCACACGAACGTTACGATGTCGC